AGAAATGGCTTAGCCCCACCATGAAAAATTATGTTAAAGTAAGCAAAATAAAGTCCGCCAACTCGCGCGGAGTAAATTGCACAGACAGCAGTTAGTAAGAGTGATTTCAGTAGCCACTTGTCTGGAAATACCGAAGACTAGAAACGGTTTTGAAAACTTACGTAGTGATCGTCTTCTCAATAGAACATCTTTGATAATGTCTTCTGGCCAATCAGAATCACGATAAAGGCGTGGTGTTGTTGCAGGAAGTCCCGACGGAGAATACTTTTGCTGTAGTACATCTCTATATACATCGATACAACATTACGTGTTGATAGAAATCAACACGTAATGAAATAAGACCCCACGGTTTGATGATCGATAGGTGTGTGGGCTGTCTTTCATTTTGACACACATGGGGGCTATCCACCCTTATCCACAATGTAAAGTAATTCACACAGCCTCTTCCCTCTTCTCTCTGTGAGGAGCAGCAGGTTCAGCTTTCAGAACAAAGTAACAACAAACTAAAATGGCATTCATTTTTTAAATATGTCGTGTTGTAATAGATTTATTTATTTTTCTTCTCAAGAGGGTACCAGAATGTGTATTTTATGTTAGTATTTCAAAAAATCCCCAGACCCCCCTGCAGGGGTTGGGTTTTNTATTTTGGACATAGTTCGAATGGTGATTAATCTGATTAATTAATTTTTAAGCTGTGATTAATCTGATTAAAAATTGTAATCGTTTGACAGCCCTAGTAATATGTCATTATGTTTTTATGTTTATGACAAAATCCACATGACTAACTTTAATAAATGTGATTCTTTTTCGGTTCTCAGGTGGCAGACGTGGGTCAGGTTCTGGAGAACATCAACCTGTCGAAGAGGAAGGAGCTGCAGTGGCCCGACGAGACGATGAGACTGAGAGCAGGACGGACCTGCTGGAGGGACTGGAGCCCCTCGGAGGGGATGGAGGGACACGTGAGTCTCTATTCAGTCTGTGGTCTTTATCTAAAGCTGCTACAGTGTTATTCAGCCTGGAGCCTATTTTACTGTTTGATGTGTCTTAAGTGACTAACGGCGGCAACAGCTTTTGAACTTGGTCCATTATCGACCGAGAGCTAAAGCTGTAATCAGTTTGAGCAATTAAACACCGTCAATGTGTGTCCACTAAAAGTGACCAGCCAATCATAATGTGTGGAGAATGTTGGGGGAAATAAATTGGGCTAAAATTGGAGAAAAAACATTTGGAACATTTTGAGCAAAAAAGGGAACATTGGAAAGAAATGGGTAAAAATGTTGGTAAAGTATAAGATAATTATTCTGAACAGAAATGGGGGAAATTAGAAGAAATAGAATGATATTGTCTAATTTGAATAACACATCTGTACCCTTTTTAATAAATCAATAATGTGTTAACCCTCACTTATAATGCACTTAAAAATTAACGTTGGATTTTGTATTCATAAACCAGCAAAAACCACCTGTCAGCTGACACACCCTGACCTCTTATGCTCTAAATGTGATTTTACCATCCTTATATGGTCTGTGCATGTGTCCTTCACTCCCTCTGTGACCTACTTGCTGGTTATAAACGCTTCATAAACCTGTCCCCCTGCAGGTGATTCACCGGTGGGTGCCTTGTAGCCGAGACCCGGCCCATCGCTCCCATATCGACAAGACCATCCTGCTGGTTCAGGTGGACGATAAGCTAGTGCCCATTTTTGAGACTGGGGTCATTGAGTTGGGTGCAGAGGTCTGAGACAAACACACACACACACACACACACACACACACACACTCGTACTTGTGTGTGAAGGAGAAGCAGGATTCTGCAGACTGACAGGAAACGGGAGCTCTCCCCCCTCCCGCGTTCCTTATATCGCTGAGGGGGAAAAGGAAGCCAGGGAAAAGTGCAAGTCGAGGCAGAGCGTAGATCCATGTTTCCTGCATCATCCTCACAGTATCTGCCTTGCTGCATGACAGAGAAAGTTAAGTTAGTTCTGCTACTGGTGATTAATTTCTATGCATTTCATCCAATATGTTCTTGGCAAGTCTGACAGAGATGAGTGTAAAGAGACGTTGTTTTGTTTGTCTAATTTGCCAAATGAAGCCTGGTATTGAATATCTGCCACGGCTTCTCACAAAACTTTCATTATTCTTTTTTTGCTGCCAAGACTTCAGAGGAAGCTCCGCCTTCTCGTTGTCGTCATTCCTTTGGATTTCAAACTTTTAGCAAGATGATTTTGCGCAAAGAAAAAACGACCTTGCACTATAATTTGTATTTGTATTTACAGTGATGCACTACACTGTTGAGATAATGTCCCATTTTATTTATTACGGACTCTGAATGGCCATGGTTACCGATGCCTTGGGAATGAGAAATAAATGCAATCATCGTTCTGTTTTCAGCCATTTTTATTTTACTATTTTATGTTTGATAAACTTGAAAATAACTTTTTACTGTATATGATTATATATCTATAAAAATATATATATATTTACACAAATATATATATATATAATGTCAATGTATAAAATATTTTCTTTCAATATTTATTACTGTGAACATGGTATTTACACTTTGTTACATCTTTCTTTTTCATTTTGAGACAAAGGTTAATGTATTGAGGACCATTGGTTGAAAACACGATGCCGAATTTTTTGATGGACTGTTTCACTATTTAACTTAATTCTTTTCTATATGGAGAAATAAAAGCTTGATTTATTGCTTACATCTTTAACACGTCTCTTCTCATCTGTTTGTTCTCGTCTTCATTTTATATTTGACTATCTAACAGTGTGAATGAAAGAATACACACATTAAGCTGGGAAATGAACCCTGTGATGTGATGTGCTGAGAGGACGTTTTATGGGTCACTTTCTGTGGTTTATACGGTTTTTATGGCATATCATCTGACAAATCACATGACACTTCTGTACTCTTTCCACTTGAATAGGTTAAAGGGAAATGTGTAACAAAACTGGTCTCAGATTCTGTCAGCATGCGAAGAATCTGTAGGTCTGAGAAGTGCATGACATTCACATAAGTCAGAGCTGGGAGAAGTACTCAGGTCTTGTACTTGAGTAAAAGTAATCAGGTCTGGCACTCAAGTAGAAGTACTCAGATCTTGTACTTGAGTAAAAGTAGAAGTACTCAGATCTTGTACTTGAGTAAAAGTAGAAGTACTCAGATCTTGTACTTGAGTAAAAGTAGAAGTACTCAGATCTTCAAATCAAATCAAGTTTTATTTATAAAGCACATTTAAAAGCGATTTTTGGTCAAAAAACAATAAATTACAACAGATATATAAAAAAAAACACAGGGAATAGTCAGGAGTCATGCTCCGCTCTGACTAGAAGGCCAGGGAGAAGAAGTGTGTCTTAAGTGTACATTTAAAAATCTATGTAATTGAGTAAAAGTAGAAGTACTCAGATCTTGTAAAAGTAGAAGTACTCAGATCTTGTACTTGAGTAAAAGTAGAAGTACTCAGATCTTGTAAAAGTAGAAGTACTCAGATCTTGTAAAAGTAGAAGTACTCAGATCTTGTACTTGAGTAAAAGTAGAAGTACTCAGATCTTGTA